AGTGGATCCACTTTTCATCCCCCGTCACTATTCGATGCAAAAAACCCTTCCGATTTTGTCTTTGGAGAAGTTGTTTGCATGTGAAAAGACGGCGTTCGGCGTCTTTGGGTTTGAGTTCATGCGGAACCCAATTTCCTTGCTTTTGTACCATACCAATGGTCTTGAGACGGTTTGAAATCGCTTGTTGAGTCACTCCCAAGTTTTCTGCGAGCTGCTCTTGAGTTTGGCATAAGTCTTGGTCCAATAATGCCTTTAACTCAGCGTCTTCAAACTTTACTGGCCTTCCTTCGCGTTCTTTATTTTCCACGTCAAACTCGCCGTTTTTAAAATTTTGAAACCACTCACAACAACTTCTCTTACTTAAAATAGCATCACCGTAAACTTCTACAAGTGACCGATGCGCCTCAGCAGCAGATTTCTTTAAATCAAAGAAATAAATCAAAATTTCCTGCAAATGACGCTTATTCGGTACAAAACTCGACATTTTCGAAAGGAAAAAATGTATACTGCCAATACAAAGTCAATAGTATTTTAAGGTTATGTTGTTGCCAGGTGCAAACTTTCTATATGATGTTTTACATCTGACAATTTCAAAGTAATCTTGTCAGTGGAGCCATCTTTTGAAAACGGCGGAAACTTATTTGTATTATTAATATATTGTGTCAGAAATCATTTTAAGTTAACTGTAAAAAACTCATGAAATAAGTGGGAGTAGCTAACTCCTCTCGAGTTGCTGGTTCGCTCGAGCGAAAAAGGCCTCGAGCGCAAAGGATTAATGATGTTTTAAGTTCTATAATTGGTCAGCATAGGCTTATGACACTATTGATCGCTCTTAGAGTGATCAATACCTGCTTTATTTGAAAATAATAATATTTGCGAACATTTAATATATTATCGTCAACTAACGACTGTCTCACAAATTAAGGTATTTCAGCAAAGTTGTGCACACTTCCGTACACTGTGTTCAATTGTGCGACACATTGTCTATCCTGATGGACATATTTTGCTGAAATTTTGCTCTCTTAACCCTTAGCTGACACACGGGGTTAAAAGTACACCAAAGTGTTTTTGAACGCAAATTTTTCATAGTTGCGCGCCAAATTTGATTCTATGGCGTCACCTAGTATTAGTCGAGGCTTAACCCAATATTGATAAATAAAATAATTATACACATTTTTCTTGCTGGGGTCCAAAATACCCCATATAGCACATACGTTATTATTTTGACGCGTGTCAGCTAAGGGTTAATTGACTCCATTTCATTAATATATGTAGTTTTCAATCTAATTCAATAATTTCCCGATATCTAATATTTCAAAAATTTTTTTATCATTTTTCAAAATTACCGTAAACGGGGGCTACTCTGAACACGAGGGGCTACTTTATACGATCGCGCTTTTAAAACGCAAATCCTTCTAGCGGACTCAATTTTTAAGTTAGCGACCCCTGGTTGGTTCTAAACTTTCAAGGATTATACATAGAATGTGCTGCGATTGCGATAAGTGCACATGTTGGCCAACATGGGCCTCTGCGCGCCTTTTCGTCGTATCAGTGTTAACAAGTGTTTCGATAAACGCATCCAAACTTCATCTGGCCTGGCGTGTGTGGCTGCAGGATTGTTTCATGTGAGTAATACATTGATTATCAATCTATTTAGCAACATTTTTTTTTGTTTCATGTCTTTAACTCATTTCTTTAATTTTACATCTTTAATTAGGTAACAAACGGGAACTTGTAGGGGTTACTTTGAACAAAGTTTTGTCACCTGGTAAAAGACGGGGCTACTTTGAACATCGTGTTAACGTGTGTTTTGTTGTTCATTGGAGACAAGGAAACATGCCGCGACGTTTCGTTCGGAAGTTGGGAGCTCGGCATTATCGCAATTATTCACCACTCGCCTTGGCAAAGGCTGTCGAGAAGTGCCTAGCTGGAAAGGCAACTATAAGAGCTGCATCGGAAGAGTGAGTTTTCGTTTCTATTTTTTTTTGTTTACCTTCTTTCAAGCGAATCCTTCCTTTGATGCTACCTAACTAACAACAATATTACATCTTTGTTATAGATTCAACATTCCGACTGGAACCATTTGTGCTTACCTCAAGTCAGCAAAGGCAGAAAGTGCAGCAGCGGTTGAGTCACCTCCAGAACCAGGACAGCCTGCAAATCCTGTTTCACGAAAAAAATCACCAGGACATCCTACCGTGTTTTCACCCAACGAAGAAGAGATTTTGTGCGCTCTCATTGTGGCAGTCGGTACGTACGGCTTCCCATGTTCAATCAGGGACTTGAAGGTGATAGTAAGATCTTATCTTGACAAAATGGGTCGAACTGTGCCAGTTTTCAAAGAAAATACGCCTGGAATTGACTGGGTGAAGCTATTTTTAAAGAGACATCCTGATATCACTCGCAGAACAGGTCGCAACATTCCTCTTAGCCGAGCAGCAGTGAATAAGGATACAATTCGTGATTACTTTCATCACTTGAGGCATGAGTTAGAAGGAGTACCTCACTGTAACATTTATAATTAATTCGGCCAAATTGGTCGAATTGGACTACGAACTGCTGCCCCATCCACAGTATTTTCCAGATTTGGCCCCGTGCGACTTTTTTTGTTTCCAAACTTGAAAAAGTCACTCGCCAGGCAGAAATTTGAGTCGAATGAGGAGGTCATCGCCGCCACGGAGGCCTACTTTGCAGACTTCGAGAAAACGTATTTTTCAGATGGGTTAAAGAAGTTGGAGCATCGCTGGGTCAAGTGTATCGAGTTAAAAGGAGACTATGTTCAGAAATAAATCGCCACTTTTCCAAAATTTTCGTTTTTCTTTTGTAGGCTAAGTACTTATCGGACCGCCCCCGTATGTCAAGATCAAAGTCACAGTATGTGAGTCTTCTATGGTAAATACGTATACGTGTTTTTAATATTTTTTATTATTAATGTTTTAATGAACAATCAGAGACGCATAAAACTTTTTGATTGTTACTCAGGACCATGTCCCTGGTAACATATGTCAAGGTCACGCCCATCGGAGGTGGCATCAGTTTTCTTAACATTTACCATTGTCAAATATACGGTGAATAAATGAAATTATTTCAAGCATATTTCACTTCATCCATCGATTCTCTATCAGTCATATACAAGTGATAATTAAAATACAATTATTTGTGTTTTATAAGATACTTTATGAAAGGCGGTAGTATCATAATGTTGGTCACTGACGACTCTCGCGACAGCCAACATGTTAAAGTTCCTGTTTCCTCGCCGCAATGATCTTGAATAATTATGTTGGAAGCAAGAAAATATGTCCCTATACACACGCGCACGCGAGCGCGTACACACACACACACACACACACACAAAATTCATGTGGAATATATTGTGATAAAAGGATACGTCGATAAAATAACAATGTGATCGATTAAGTCCTTTTATGAAATATTCTGAAAAATGTTCCTATTTTGCTTTAATATTCACTAAATGTCGTAAAATTCAAATGACAAAATCATGAGGAAAAATAGATTAAAAGGGAAAGCGGTATATTCATATTAAAATTAGGGTTATTTATTGATTGTTAAGAAAAAAGGAAATTTTCCGGAATATTTTTGCAAATGCTCAAATGATTAAGTGTTATTTTTTGCATATATATCCTTTTAATTCACCATATTTAATAACAACGCGGGCGTACGTTTTTTTCACAACTGACGTCATTAATCAAGATAACAGAAGCAAGGATACAGAAGCTTTCATGCATGGTGTGAAATTCTAGTTTTCAATTCCAACGCACCAACACGACAATTTCGAAATACGGCGCAAATCGATGGCTATATATATAAACACATACGCATGCATGCACACACGCATACATAAGGGAAATTTGATATTTCATTTCAAATTAACGAGAAGAAATCTTTGAAAAAATCATTAATTTTTAATTAGCAAACATTAGAGTTACAAAAAAATTTAATCAGCTTCCCTCGCATACTTTTACATCGGATCAATCTGAACGAGTAGCATTTCTAAGATCGGCAGGAATCCCAACACACACTATCTTCTCTCCTGCGGCGTTTACAAGCTCCCATTCAAGGGTTATGCTATAATCCTGAAGAGAGACGAGAAAATTTATTAATCAGTTTGGTCGAAATCCATTTAAAAAAATCAACAGTTACAAAATTACGCTTACCAGGGTATTCGGATCTAAGATAAACATTTCGGTGTAATTATACTCTTGGTCCTTTTGCAAAGGACATTGCACTAGGCTGTACGGATCCTTGCAAACGTCAGATTCGTCGAATACAAAATGTACATCACCTTCCTCTTTTACGGCACGCGCACGCGCATATACTTGTGGGATGTCAACATCTGTAGAACAAACATATCAAAATCAATTGTGGAAATTATATTTAAAACAGAATAAATGATAATTGAAAATATTTAATAAAACGGAATAAATTAAATCCATGTTAAGTATTGCGTAATAAAATTTGTGAACGAAATGAAATGTATAATAAGATTTAATTGATTAATCCAAATTTTTTAATGGACTATGTCAAATTTATTTATATTAAATAAAACGAAAGTATTCTAATCTTGCGAATATTTACCAGGTATAAATTTGATGAATACGACGATAGTAGCGCCAGGTATAAAGATGCATCTTTTGTCCTTTGTGGAACAGCCTATAACTGAAACATCCGTGAACCTACCTAGTGTCGAGCCTGAAATAAGAAATAAATGAATATTAATGTAGTTTTACATATTAGTATGGAAAATTAAATAAATAACTAATGAACGCACACAGGTTCCCCTTTCCATTTTGTATCCCTATTAATGTGTGCGCGAATATATGTGTATTAATATTTATAATTAATAATATTATTGTAGTAACATTGTTATTAACTTTTAATCACACAGTAATGATCACATTTTTTTCTGATATTATTAAAAGGGAACTAACACCAAATTAACTAACATACAGGATCTATTTTAAGTGACGTCTCATTAAATAATATTTTATGAAAAGTCGATTTTAAAAGTCGAGATTAAAAGTCGTAAAAAAATTGTAAACATATGCCTCTGTGAAGGTCGAAAGAGTTAATTAATATTTTTGGCGAAAATTCGCTCTCGCCATTGTCTATACACATAGAAATATACATGCTACATACACACACACATATATATATATATATATAGTAAATAAATTTTACTTTGTTTCAAGTATTTCTCATAAGTATATGTCCACAAATGTATTACAAGTTTATCAAAAGTATCAAAAGAAATTTCTTCAAAATATGTTCCAAATTCTATTACGTTTATTACTTCGAACGAGAATATAAAATTTATACAAAATTATGACTCTGTGTGTGTGTGTGTGTGTGGGCGCACGCGCGCGCGTTTGTGTGCGTTACTTTAGATTAACCGAATTTAACTCTTCCGTGCGATAAGGTTTTAAAATTCTTTTTTTGAATACGTGATAATAAGCTTTTCTAAAAATTCTGAGCATGATATTTTAGAACTATACAAGAAAGTTATCCTATGCTAAGATAACTATTATTTGAAGAAGGAAAATTAATTGATTAATCGCTTTTATTAGCAGTGGAATAATATTTTTCTATTTAGCTCCAAGATCCGATCAATCGCTGAAATTAGATTTATTTGTTCCCATGGCTTTTCTGCCCTTCTCGAGCTATCTGTACGCTTCAATCCGTACGCTAAAACGTCCTTTCTGGATATCGGTCGAAGAGAATATATCGATAATTAATGGATAAAGCACAAGGATAAATAGCACAAAGTTATAGGATGATTTGTGTTGATGATTAAATTATTCTTGATTAAGAAGGTGGACGTTCTTTTCTCGAAACAGAAAGTCTATATTCCTTTAAATTTGTCGAATGCGTGATAAAGAAGGATCGAATAAATATGATACCACTTCGAATAAAAAAACAAGCGCGAATAAAGCGTTACACCAACAAACAAGACTCTGGTGATTAGAAAGATAGGTATGCATGATCTTAAGAAAATAGATTTTTAATTTGTGAGAATAAAATATAATAATATGTAATATTCAATGATATATATTTAATAATATAATAATACTTGATATCAGCGTTACACACAATGAATAACAGAATGTAAGATATGCGAGGTCGCAAATCAAAATAAGATAACCCATGAAATATAAAAAAAAAACAATAACACGAGAACAGTTGTTTAGAAAAAGCGAAATATGAGACAGTCGCAAGAACTCGGATGATCGTTAAAAAAAGTATTAGGCGAAGAACGGCTTAAAAATATGTATTATCTTCATTTACATAAACCAATATCTTTAAGAGGCTTGTGATTAAGAGATATTAAAGACCTATCTTTCTTCCTCAAGGAATAGATAATGAATATTTTCTCGAATTTACTGCCGAATACGTGAAAAACAATTTATCGAAAGTGCAGTTTTTTTTCTCTCGACATTGCATTTGTTATTTTATTCCTGGAGCGATACAAGAGGGAAAAGAGAAACAATAACGATTACAAACGAGATTAATAATACGTGAGATTAAAAGGCGTAAAAAAACTTAGTGAACTTTATTAATTTTTTTAGATTCGTCTGCGTTCTCAACGGGATCTCGTCAGAGTCACTGAATGAATTATGCTTTAATATTAATAAGTATAACAATAACAACAATAATAATAACGAATAAGTTAGGATTAAAAAATAACAGATTAATATGTCTTTACCGTTTAAAGTTGCCTTCGTTCAATAACGCTTAGCAGAGATTTTACTGATTAGTAACATTAACAATAATTACACTTTTGAATAATGGTATCATACAGGTATTTCTTGGAAGAAAACGACAAAAATATTTCTGTCGTAATTTTGCATATATAGAATGTATGTATATGTGAAATAAGCAGTAGTAAATTATAAGAAATATTTTCAAAATTTGCGAAACACATTTAATAAATAATTGATAAAATGTAACTTTCCCAACTTTGAAATAAACATATGTTGCACCAAAAATGTGCATATATCAAATAGACCTTCCTCTGTTTCACCACTTCCTGATACTACGATCAAATTTCCTTCTCGGAACAACAGCGCGCTTTCGAAGACACTTTTAATTAGTACGATGTATTTGTGAGATATTCGCGGCAATGAGACTTATTATTTGCAAGAATGGTGAAATGTACTCACCGCAACTCCAGAAATTGACACATGATGCGTAGCAAAAGCACAATATGACGCAAAACAACACAGATGCAATTGCTTGATTCATCTTTATCGAAGAAGCGTGCACGGCTTCCGTAAGGCAACTATTGCCGCTACCTCGAAGCGCGCCACTATGTCGCTTCCGCGTTCGCCTTCTTCCCCGTACCTCGTCATTCCCTTTTGTATCAAATGTGATAATTTTCCTCTCATTTTGTAAAAGAAAATACCAACTGAGTCAGATCGTAAGTTGCTACGTATAAATCTGCAATTTGCGAATCAATCGTATATCCCAAAACATGGAAAGAATTACAAAAGTGAACTCTTTTTAATTAAGTAGTCTTCACCACGATGAAAATTTGATATATATTATGTGAGATAATTCGACGAATAAATTCGTATCAAATGGTATTAAACAGTATCGCATGGATATTATATTTTCACTTTACGTATAGCCAATTTCGTCTGTTGGAAGTCGATTGTGTATCTTCGACGACTTGTCTCACTCACCTCTTGTACTTTCATCTCATGTAAATAAATACGAAAGGCTATGTGCAAAGTGTGAGATCCGACGTCCTTACAACATCATTTGATGCCATTCTACGCAATTACTTATCTCACGTGAGTTATGTCGAATTTATATCCAGGTATAAGTTAGTCAATCAAAGCTCACTTGTATAATTCTCACTACTAAAGTACGTAATCGATTCTCTTGATACATTTAGCAAATGTATTTTTATCGATATTTGTCAGATATAAAACAGATAAAGTCGATTAGACGTTAGAATTAGCAAAAGCCTGTATGATAATAATTACTCTTTCTATTTAATAATAAACTGTATTATTAAGTGACTCATGAATAAGAGATATTCAAGGTCTTTCTTTCTCGAAAGCAAACAGTTGTGCAATAAACAGTTTTCCGAACGTGCAGCGCTTTTCGTCCAGCATTGCGTTTGTTATTTTATTTTGGAAGTAATGCAAGAGGAAAGAGAAAAATGATAACAATTACAAATGAGAAATGTAATGTAATAACATAACATTAAAAATAACATAACATTAAAAATCAGAAGAATTTGTAGTAAACTTTATTTATGTCTTTATATTGGTTTGCGCTCTCAGGGAATCTGGCTAGAACTGCTGAATATATAAATTATCTTTTAATATAATAAGAGTACGACAAATAATAATAATAACGAATTAATTAGGGTTGAAAAATAATATGTTACATTGCCCTCGTCGTTTGAAGTTGCCTTCCTTCAATAACGTTTGGTAATGATTTTTATTGATTAGTAATATTAACAATAATACAATTACACTTTTGAGTAATGATATCAAAAATGTACTTTTTGAAAAAAATTACTATTCCTACTCTGAAATAGGTATTAAGGCATGTTGCACCAAAAATGCGTATAAATCAAATAGACATTCCTCTGTTTCGTCATTTTCTGATACCGTGATCAAATTTCCTTTTCGAAGCGAAAGCGCGCTTTCAAAGGCAATTCTAATTAGTACGATCCACCTGTAATATTTTCGAGGCAGTCTTATTTAATATTTAAGGGAATGGCGAAATGTACTTACCGCAACTGCAGAAATCGACGCATGATGCGTAGTAAAAGCACAATATGAAGCAAAACAATACAGATTCAGCTGCTTGATTCATCATTATTGAAGAAGTTTGCGCGGCTTCCATATGGCAACTAATGCCGCCACCTTGAAGCACGTCGACACGTTGCTTTCGGGGTTTTCCCCGTATTCCGTCATTTCTTTATAGAAAAAATGCAATAATTTTCCTCTCATTCTGTCACAGGAAATGCCGGCAGAGTTGGATCGCAAGCTGCTACGTAGAAATCTGCGATCTGCGAGTCAATTGTGTATCTCTAAACATGATGAGAATTACAAAAGTGAGCATTCCTTTGATTGAATGACTTTCACCATGATGAAAATGCAATATACAATCAGTCTAATAAAAGGGAAACTTTGGAAACCTGGTTTTTTTTTGGAAATCGTCACATCGAAAACTTTTGAAAGATTGAGTAAAAGAACTCTTGTTTTACGACGCATTATACAGAGAGTCTCAGTTATTATTTTACTTTTACTAGAGGACAATATATTTAATAATAAATGCCGGAGTGTAGTGTAGGGTAGTGCCGAATCGAATCTAATCTGATCACAGGGCAAATCGAATCAATATATGTTTTGAGACGATGTCGTTAACTTTTTGTCTCAAATGAGTGCGGGCCAAGCGCACGGAGGTAACTAGCACGATAAAACAGTTCGTTTGAAACAGAACTAATTATAACTGTCGCATAGTGTATATTCGATTCTCCCTGTTATCCAATTCGCAGGTTTCTCTACGGAAAATTTAAGTGCCAAGAAGCTCAAAGTCAAAATTTACCAGTAAGCATTAATATCTTTTGCCGAAACAGTGATTTCGAAGTAAAGATCGGCATCCTCCAAGAGGACAATGGCTCAAAACATTAGGGTTGTCTTTGCTCCTAATGAAAGGAGAAAAATATCATCAAAGCATTAGATTGACCACCACGATCACTAGACGCAAATTCAATTGAAAATATCTAAACATTAATCAAAATGTAATAGCATGAAAAAATATACGCGATAAAATAGATTCGTTCAATATAGAGATCTCTACCTCGAGAATGTGCTGTATAATTAGTAGAAAATATGCTCCGAAGATGTCAGGCAATAATTGATAATTGCGTGATTGGACAACTTAATACGAAAGTGTTGTAGGATTAGTTATGTAATGTATATATTTTTTTTCATTTTTCTTATATTAAATGATTTAAAAGTTACGTCTTATTATTATCGTCTTATTACGGTCACGCTCTTATTAGATAGACTGTATCTCATGTGAGATTGTTCGACGGATAATTTTGTGTCGAATAGCATTAAACTGTTTCCTAGGCATATTATATTTTTACTTTGCATACATAATCATTGTCGTCTTTTGGAGTTCGAATAGGTACTTTCGTCGACTTTTTTCACCTTTCCTATTTTCATTTTGTGTAGAGAAATACGCACGAATGATTATATGTAAAGTGAGAATACAATATCCTTACGACAGAATTTGATGCCGTTCTATACGAAATTACTTATTGAATAATCTCACGTGAGATATGTCGAATTTTTATTATGGTAAAATTTATTAAATCAAACGAGAGTTCACTAGTGTAATTTTCACTATTGAGATACACAATCAATTTCCTGGATATATTAGGGGTAAGTAATCAATTATTTTGCATTTGTAAACAAATATTTGTAGGAAAATAACATTTTTATATTTTAATCAATTATATAATCTCCGTCATTATCAATAACAGTTTGCCATCTCCGCTTCAAAAGTTAAATCCCTCTCTTGTAGAAATCTAATGTCCGTGATGCAAAGTAAGATTCAAGGTGAGCTCTTAGAATTGAAGGTTTTATTTCTTAAGGAGTGCTCCAGAGATCTGAACAAATGAAAGTTAGACGGTGCGATGTCTGGGGAGTATGATGGGCGCGTTAGAGCTTCCCACGATAACTCTTTTAATTTTTCTTGGGAGAGTTTCGCTGTATGTGGCCAGGCGTTATCATGTTGAAGTATTACGCCTTTTCTGTTGTCCTATCTTCCAACAACTAGGTATACAGCCGTTGTAATTGTTGGCAATACAAATCTGGAGTGATTGTTTCTCTAGGTTTCAATAACTCGAAGTGAACTATACGATCCCACTAAAGACACAATAAAACTTTTCTCAGGGATAATGTTAGTTTGGGGTTGGTTTTGGTGTCTGGTTTGAAAATGGCCATTGTTTGGAACGTCTCATGTTGTCATAGAGGATTCATTTCTCGTCTCCGGTGACGATCCTGGGTAGAAATGGATCTCTACAGAATCTGGTAAGCATTGAAGTGCAAACTGTTTGTCGAAGATCTTTGTTGGTCTCGGATAGTTGGTGTGGAACCCATATTCCTCGTCTAAGTACCATCCCGATTTCATGCAGGTGTCTATGTTGACGAGTTGACCAAATCAATCCAAAGCTTTTTGATATTTCCTGCACACTTAACCTTGGATCAGACGGCATTGAAGATTTTAAAGTGTAATCATCAAATTTAACTGGTCGTCAACTTCGAGGCCTGTTAGACAGGCCATAATCACCAACAGCAAATCTCCTGGACCAACGCTGACGTTTGTTAACCTTCAACACATCTCCATATATATCACAAATTTTTCTCGTTGTTACTGTTGCACTAAATCCTACATGAAAATTAAAATGTATGCAATTACGAATATGACTTTCAGGAGGTGTAAAGTCCGCCATTTTACTGCAATAAGAAAATTTTAAACTCTTCGCAATAATTAGCTAACAGGGTGCTTCTATAGATAGTATGAAGGAAAACGTCCTCTCGATTGTACGGTCGATACAGAACTAATGACAAGTGAGCTCTTTAAAAAAAATTGTTTACTTATGGATACTTATGGTTACTCCTAATATTTAATGAATATTATATTATGAGCATTTATAAATATCAAGCTGATGTAACTTTATTATAGATAAATATATGTTTTAATAATGAGTACGTGTTCTTTATTTCATAATATTCCTATAAGAAAACGGAACTTGCAAACAGTCAACCACGATGAACACCGCAAATGATTAAAGAATTAATGATTTTTATTTATGTGGCTTCTGTTAACATCTGTGTGTCGACTTTGTGTCTACACAAATTACAGTCTGTTCAACAAGAAAGTGTAGGTGATAATCTGAAAAGAATGAAAAATAAAATCAAGTTTTTTTTTAAGGAAATTAGAAGATTTTTTTAATAATGTGCAATAACTTAATATTTGATCCAGTCGCCTCCATTATCAATTATTGTTTGGCACGGTTTTTGCACATTTTCGACAAGATTTTCGGCGTATTCTGCAGGTAAAAAGCGCCATATTGTTACTATTTTTATGCATTGCTGCTTTAGAGTTAAGACACGTTTTCCTTTAAGTTTCATCTTAAAGTATTACTATACATTTTCGATGGGATTTGCGTCCGGAGATGATGCCGGCCAATCCATCGTAGTTATGCTATTTTCGAGCGTAATACATAGCCGACTACGATGTTTCGGGTCAGTATCGTCTTGCAGTACCCATTTCGATCTCTCCTCACCAAAAAACCTTTTAGCAGACCTTAATAAATATTTTTGGTAAATTTACCGCATTTTCTCTGCATTTAAATGTTGTGTAAATAAGTAGCAGGATATAAGCAGCCAAAAACCCCGCGTTTAATAAAGAACCCCTAAATATGAACTTTTATTGGATGTTTTGCAGTGCGTTGCAGGATTCTTTTTTGCTCCGTTGACCAAGTTTTCGATACGGGACACCATGCCCAAAAGAACGATTCATCTGTAAAGATGACATTTTCCCTATCTCGATTATCATTTTCCTGTACCCACTCTATTCCTTATTAAGAATGTTTTTCTGACAGCAGCGGTTTTTTCATGAAGAACAGAAGTGCCATATCATTTTTATAGAGGCAGCTTCTGATCGCATATGTAAACTCTTTTAGTGGAGTTTTACTTGGGTCTGACGCAGGATAAGGCTGGGATTTGTCTGAAAGAGACGGAAGATTGTTTTGTCCTCCTTCGGAGTCGTCGCACGAGATAGTCCTTTCTGGCAATTTGTCAATATTTCCAGCGGTTTTGAACTGATTTACCCATTTCCTTACGAAAGCCTCTGACTTTTCAATTGCTCTAGCAGCTGCTGCGATTATTAATTTTGGTCTTTTAGAATGGAAAACAAGGAATACCGCATCGTAACATTTCAAATATTGTTCACTCACTTTTTAAAATAATGTTTGCTTTTAACAACTACTCAACGTAACTTTTTGATATACACTACAGAAAAGAAATTATTTTAAAGATTCAAACGGTATAAATTAGATGGCGCTACTGTGATTTTCTACAAAAATATCACCCACACTTTCTTGTTGAACAGACTGTAACTTAGGACAATTTTTATAATCTATCTGTACTGTAAAAGTAAAAACATTAATAGAGATTAATAGAGATTACCTAATGGAGGACAAAAACGAAAATTTATGTATTTAAATATATTTATTGTTAAATTTTATACAACTTATTTTATTATTAAATAATTTGTTCAATGTTCATTATATGAATTCGATGCTCATTATAATGAAATTTGTCAATTTTACAGGGTAAGAGAATAACTGAAAATTCATATAATTATATTATATATTTATTGAAGATAGATAAATAGACAGATAGATAGATAGATAGATAGAGAGAGAGAGACAGAGAGAGAGAGAGAGTGAGAGAGAGAGATCTATGATACTCAAAATTTTGAATTAATTTAATAATACAATTGACATTAATATCACTTGGTAGCGTTTCGCTTACATTTGGCTTTCAATCATATATTCGTAAAAATCATTAGCTGTTAAACTAATATAGAATGAAAATTATTACACGTTAGTAAAGTTGTGTGCCAAAAAACGAAACAGATATGAGATATGAAAATACTGACGTGTACAAATACGTAGCTTTTCAAGTGGTAATAAAACTGATGAAATTGAATTATATCATTATCATTAAAATGCATCGTCCTCAAATCCGTGAATTTCTATACATATTATCAAAATAGAAACAAATGTGTATGATCACAGTATTATATGTAACAACTCATTCAAAAAAATATTTTTGTTACAGTATGTACTTCTAATCGCGTGTTCAATGTGTATTAAACGGATAGTAACATTCTACAAATAGCATCGATCTACGTTAGTGTAAAGTAGAATTGTACTGTGCTGCTGTGTTTAAAATAAGTCGTTAGTTCTCGTCCTTGAAGCGACGATAAATAGATTGGACGTACGTAAAGACGCATTTCCAATCCGGCCGTTGCATCATCACCATGTCTTCGACGTCAAGTAATGGTGCAATTCCAGCGATTTCACTAAAAGAAAAAGAAAGAAAGCGAAAAAAAGAACTCTCGATTATTCATAAATAAAAAGAGACGATTAAATGAAATGGATTAAATTTTTCAAGTAGAAAATGTAGCATTGACATAGTACGAGAAAATAAAATCTCTTACTCTGCTTTTGTAAAAGCAAGTTCGAAGTTTTTCCTGCGATTTTCCGGACGTAAAGAGTTGTAATCAAAAGCATCCGGCCTAAAGTGGTGTATTAATGCGCAGAATGCTAAACCGTTGTTCCAACTCGTTGAGAAGTTATTGAGTTGTACATTCTGAAACGAACGTATTAATCAAATGTTGTTCTACTATAATTGTTGTCACACAAATGTAAAAGTGTTGTAGCTCTGTAAATTAGGTCGATAGTATATTTTGTACATAACGTATACATGTGTATGCACTGGAACAATATATTTACCTCGTATTCTTTAGTTTTTGACTGACACCACGCCAATAAACGGTTTTTAATTTGTGCAGCGTTATCTCGTATAGATGGTTCAGTAAATTTGAAGCGAAATTCTGTTGCAGGTGATTTTACAGCACTAAACGTAAAAAAAGTACATAAAAAGAAACGAATCATTGATCGATATACGAAAATCCATACGCAAAAGTACGTAAAAATATAATTTACGTGTTCTCTTTTTAATTTGTTTTATTTGTCATTCCTTTGCGAAATCTTTGCCATATTAAATTATCTATTGTTAATCAATATACTATAATTTAAATTTATTTTTTTTTTCTTCATAATTACCTTGGCGATAAAGTGGCGCTATTTTGTCTATCGAGTTGACGAAATTTGGCAAACGGCGATAGTGGCTTCTTTGGAGCTGAAAAATGAACGGTGCACCGTCAAACTACAAATGTTAAATTGTGCGTGCGATATGTTAGAATTGCGCAGAGATGCATATTAAGATTGAACTAAGATGTTAATATATATACGTCATTTTAATTACTTATAACCGCACGCGGATTTCGATACATGTCAAAAGTACAGGTGTAAATTATTATTGGACAATTGGATCTAGCGAAAATTTTCATTTCCCACTCTCGTCACATGCCTGCAGTGCATTAGTTGTCTTACAAACAAATTAAATGATAGTTTAGTGTGAATAAAAAACAGATATACAATAATATTGAAGACCATACGCGGCACGTGTACTACGGTACCACTCGTGCACACTTGCAGCAGTGCAAACTGTATGCTACTGCGTAACAAAAAATCGACAAAAATAAGGATAGTGACTCACTGATTTATTCGGGGATTGGCATGGTCCTCTTAGCGATTCTCAGAGCTCATCCGCGAGACGTGCGCGCCGCGATTGCGACTCGAATAAAAAAAGAAAAACACGAAAGAGTAGACAAGCGACAAAATAGAAAGAAAATAACCACATAGCGTGTGATTAATACGTGTAGTTTTTATTTGTAGCTTTTATACGACTCATAGCTAAAAAATGTGCAAACGATAATGGAGTAGTCAGTGCGTTGCAACGTCCTCTATCTCTCGTCAGTCCGAGCAGATTATTCGTAAATAATTCTTTCTCTATGCGCGTTCATTTTTCCTGCTCATGTGAGCAGTCATGAAAAGAACAAGACAATTCTTATCAAAATGAATAAAAGGCGATGAGCATTGGAGGTGTCGACGGTCGTTGCATCAATTTACACAATCGTCTCTCGTAATGGATGAAGACTATGAGAGCCTAAAATCCCATTGTGGATCCAAGAAATATGATTTTGCTGTAAAGGACTGTATCAGCTTTTTACATAGAAACATGAAACATTTCTGTTCTGAAATCTTTGCGATGGCGGAAAAAAAGGATTATGCAGTCCAATTACATGTGTAGATCATTGAGCAGATTATTTAATTTTATTGAGAGCAAATTGTAACCGCGTGGTAAAATTAACTTTAATAAACATTTGTTTTCAATTACATACGAAAAAGCGACTAAATAAAAGATTTAAAAAAGAAAAGTTAGCATATGTTTTTTCATATTCAACAAAATGTAATTTGCTAATACTGTATTTACTTTGACGAAATAATTACCGCACGCAAGCAATTTCAGCAAATCGATCAGTCAAAGTTGACTAAAAAAAATACTATTTCATTAACCTTAATTTTTGATAACAATGGTGTTTTCGCGAACGGTCTGAAAACAAACACATGGAAATGATCGTCTGAAAACTTCTAAAGAACAATTTGATTAAAATGAATTATCAATTGTACCTACCAATGGTAGGCTTCATGAATCAATGTATGAAATTACGAAAAATTGAACGATTCACATAGTTGGCCGTTATGCAATAAGCGTGTCTGCAACAAGATTAACTGCGATCAAAGAAAGCGATTTTGTATTGTGACATTTAACATCAAAATATTTATCATCGGATACGACATGATTGCATGGCTTTAAAAAGTAATATTAATCGTCCAAGATAGATGCGACTTTTGTCGGAAGCAGTGTCTAGCACGTGTCGCGAGTTCATGACGCGGTTTTATAATTAACACTAAGAAATAGAAGAACCGACCAATCAGAAGCGATGATCGTCGTCAGTTCTGGTAGCCTCTTCAAAAATATCGTCAAAAACTTTGTCCACATCGGTGCTATTGGGATTTGTAGCGGAAATTTGCGGCACAGTAGAAGTCAGCAAGTGCAATTTTTTGTCGCATATTCCTGGCATGGTGCGGCTTCTGGAAAGGCCAACAAGACCTTTCGTTGCTATGTCGTGCGATGAAAAACGTTTGACCTTGGAATCCTTCGCATCAGTGCTATCGTTTGAATTGTCGAAGTATCTGCGTATTTTATCTTCCATTTTTCTCATATTGTCCGAGGACAAAGATGCCTCGTATTGTTTCTTCGTTCGAAAGAATGACGGTGATTTCGTTTTCGGCAGCTTTGGTAGATGAGACGACGTTGGAGGTAATCCACTATGTGACGGGTGCGGATGCGGATGATGACTGTTAGATAGTACTAGCTGATGCCACGATTCAGACTTAGACAGAACAGTAGATTTCACTGATTTGTTGGAGCAAGACACTAGGTATTTATCACTAGAATCTATTACGCCATTTGCCGTCACGCCGTCGTTCGGAACCAGCGAACGCTCCTTTTGGACGGATCTTAATTGACTGTCAGATTGCTCGTATTGTTCTCTAAGAGCAGTGACACGATTTATCGTGCCAAATCTCGAATTCGATGGTGTTGACGGGGAACTGGTGACAAACAACGCATCGGGCAACTGAAACTTCGAATGTTGGTTAAAATTGCTAACATGTTTGGGGACAGGCGTGTACTGATTGTTCAGCATCGTGTGTTCGTTTTGTAGCCGACGGACTAAACTCTGCTGTAATATGTTGTGTCGACGTATTTCTTCTTTGGTTGCGGCGGTCTCGTTACTAGTTTTTCTGATGGACGGTCGATAAAACAAAGGAGAGGGAGAAGATGAATCTTTGAATTCCGATCCCACTTCTTCCGATCGTATCTCTGGAGTTTCCGTTGACGCAACAGTTGCTATGGCGCAAGCGTATCGAGTTACAACTCCGGCATCCGCGCTTATGTCTTGATTCTGTATATTTTGTTCTTCCGGTAGATCGCCGTTGTTCATACACGAAAGATTTTTCTTATTCATTTCATTCGATATACTCAATATCTCATTCTTCAACGGATCTCTGTTGAATTTCATGTCTAGAGGATAATTTTGAAATATTTGCGATTGATTTTCAGTCGCTAGTTTAGGCGAGAAGCAATTCTCGTACTGAGAATTATCAGTTTGGTAGATTTGTTTGTGTTGTTTTGGCGAATGGTAATTGGATATGTCCTGAGAACGTATATTTTCTATTGGGCTTAGTATGCCAACAGAGGATTGCTCCTCGTTAAGATCATGCGTGTTCTCCTCCATCAAGATTTCTTTTTCTTTTGGAACGTCGGCTGCCACAGTATGATTTTTCCAGTTATGACCCAAGATGAAATTCTTCGGATTTTCCGCGAGATAAAAACTCGAGTTTGACTTTGAGTTAGTGTCACTGCATTCGTAACGAAGAGTCGTCCAATCATTCTTATGTTCTATATAATCCGTTAACGGTTGATCTGATTGATTACAGATTTGGACGGACGTATCGTTGCAAACGGGTGGCGAATCTCTCGAAACTTTAGGAACCATGCGAAATACACGCACTTCTTCTGGTTGATTATCATTGATCTTACCCGTTTGAATGGCAATAGGCGAGCTATTGCTGAGCGTTGCGTCCACTATTATGTTTTCCGAAATTTCTTGTTCGTTGCACTGACGATTATGGATCGATTCGAAAACATTTTTCTCGCTAAGGATATAGAACTTGTCGCAAATCGGTTCCTCAACCTTATAACATGATTCATTTGCTTTGTGGTGTTGTTGGACTCGCGACTCCCTTTCTGAGAACGTCTCGGAGATTTTTCCGTCTATCATTGATAGTTTTTTGCTGGACGGAAAGAAGATCTCGCGCTGTATCGATTGTTTGTTACGCTTGCGTTGTTCTTCGTTATTCCATGATTTCGTAAACTCCACGGCATTGTTTTTGTCTATAAATGGCGCAAATTGCTTGCAAAAATTGCGATAATCAAACCGCCCGTTTTCGGTGATTATTTGGCTCGATTTCATTCCATTTCTGTCATGTTCAATCCATGGTGGTCGAGGAAAGAAATGTTTCAGTGTGCTTTCGTTATCGTCGATCTTAAACTTGATCGTAGACTGAGATTGAGCATTACTGTTCCGATCAAATATAATTCTAGCTTTCTCGCCTACAGCATTTTCAGACGATGACGCATTGTCCTTGAACCTTGAACGGTGAGAACTCGGCGGTGATATCAGGTTTTGCGATTTCTCAATTTTTTGAAACAGCGACGAGGATGCATGCCTGAAACCTATATCCGGTTTCGAAATGTTCATGTTGACAAACAGCAAATCCTTACTTGAGGTGTCAGTACCGATTGGTGTCTTCTTGTTTGTTAGTTGGGACGAAGTATGGAGTGCACTCGAGAAACGCTTAACAGGGCATGATTTTGGAAAAAGTTTGATCTCGTCGCTGACAGACGACGGTTTATCGAAAGCGGTCTTGATATTCGAAAACCGATTGTTCCAATTTTCGTTTGTTAGTGATGACATATCCGTTATTTTAGTGTAGCCGAAGGATTTGAAAACAGATGCGGCGTTGAACTTCGTTTGCATTTCGTTGTTCTTATTGATCAGCGCCAGGAATTTTTTATCATTCTCCGTTCGCGGATAGAAGGACGGGATGGCCAGGTTTTTGGACGTATTTGACGCAACTTTGTCACCTACATTAATGGGACGTCGAAGCTGTACACAACCCGAGTTGTCACAATCAAAACCGCCAGCTTGCAGCTTCAAGTAACTCGGTATATCGACAGTATTCGCGCGTTTGATTTTTGATTTCTTCATAATGAATTTGTTATTGACATTGCATCTGTTTGCACTAACCAGTTCCGCACGTTGCCGCAATATCGCCGCGAGTTTGATCACCCGGCTTTGTTCTTCGTTTGTTCTTTCAATCGTGAGTTCCTCGTCGTCCATATTGCCACACCAACGTCGATCCTGGGACATATTCGATTCACTAATACCGACGGGCCGATACGAACCGATGTCTCCGCGGCAATCTTTATTCTTATCTCGCAAAGATTGGCGTTGATTAATCGCGTTTTTCGTATATTTGTCACAAATTTCCTCCGTGTGCGTCTCGCTATTCGGCGTATCACTTGACGCGTTATTCGACACACTACTCGGTACATTGCACGGCATAGAAACTAGGAGCGATTCTTGTTGCTGTCGAACCGACACCTTGTTTAACTTCACCAGATCCGCACTGCTCTCCTCCAGTTGTTTCCGCGCGTAGGCAATCTCTTCAGCGGAAACGCCAATAGTATGTCTAACAAAGCGTCGTTTCCGCGTAGCATAACCTTGTGCCGTTGCAATGTCAATTAGTTTGTTTTCCCCGGTCGTGGTTGTTTCCTTTTGTGGCACCTGCAGTCGCGACAGTAAACTAGATACCAGTCGCAAAAGTTGTAGCTTGCTCGTAGGATCCGACACTCCTCCGTGCTTAGCGAGTGTCGCCACGTCCGTGTATTCCAGCGTCTCGCGCAAACGTGACAACGCTGTTTGGATGTCCAATAGTAACAGATCTTCCAGCAACTTGAGTTCGTCTTTCTTCGACCCGAGATCGTCATGATCGTAGCCGCTAAACATCGCCTGTTTCATGGAATGCTGCGTGTGGAGTCGACCTTTGACTTCGGCGTCGACGTTGGACTCAACTAACGACGATGTCGCCATCGGCTCATTACCGCTATGGCAACCCGTCGCGAGGGACAGCTCGAGTGCCTCGCGCAGACGTTCTACCAGTATCGGCAATGAATTCCACTCACCAACTCTTACGCTGATATGACCACTGCCGCGATGTCCATTTTGGTTGTCGGTAGTCAGTATCCCGGCTCTGAACTCGTCCGCTTCCGTTTGCCTCTTCGTTTCATTCGCTACAATCCTTGACATCGACATCACTGATATGTCATTGTCTGACGTCATCGAAGACACGCTTCTCATCACAGTCGACAGTTCTATTGGGTGGAAACAAAACGAACAACGATGTAAAAATTTACTCGTATACCGTATGTACTAGAATGTATTGTTCGAATTTGAATAAATTTATCCTCCACTACAAAATCGAAGGGTTGCGAGTAAAAATACATATCTCATAGAATCATAATTTTTGGAAAATTATACTTTTGTATTTTGATATTGTAAAAAAGGCAATATTTCCAACTGAGTCTCGATTAAATTTTTATTCAATTTTTCATTTGAATATTTGAGCAAATATTCATCAATAAAACTAGTAACAAATATAATGTCTCTTAATTGCACAAATTAAATAATTATTAAAATATAACATTTTATACTAAAGATATATTCATTATCTCTTTTACTTGAAAAAAAGGATAATGAATTAATTACTTAGGGAATTTTATCGATTTCTTCTGTTTTCGATCTATATTTCTTGAATATGTATTTTTATGTTTTTATTTGTTGTATAAATAAGTTCGGTGCCTTTTTTACATGAATTTAACATTTATTTACAAAAAATGAATTACATGTCAATCCTGGAAATAGTCCCCATTATTTGTGACACACTTTTGCCATCTTTCAGGCAACTGGCGAATCTCCTGTTGAAAAAAAGATGGCAGTTTTGAGTCAATAAATTCATCGCTTTTTTCGACCTCTTCGGGAGATTTGAAGTAGAAATCAACTAGGTGATGTTGCAATGACCAGAACAGATGATAATCTGAAAGGACAAAGTCTGGGGAATAAGCGGCATGAGGAAGAATTTTCCATGGGCATGGTCTGTGGAATAAGCTGCATGAGGAAGAATTTCCCATCCTAAGCTAAAGGTAACTTGTTAGGTTGTTTTCGTCGTATTTGGCTGCGCGTTATCGTGCAGCAGAATCATCTGCCCAGTTCTGTTGCCGGTGAAAGGTCTTTTTTGATCAATCACACAATTTGCATTATTCAATTTGATCATTTGCTGCTGGTAATGCTCAGAAGTAAGTTTCACCATGTTTGAGCAATTCATAATAAATAATGTCTTTTAAATCCCACCAAATGCACAGCAACGCCTTTTTCGCGTGAATATTCGGTTTAGCAATAGATATTAGCTGTTTATCTGGATGAACTCACAACTTTCCGCACAGTTCTTGGAATTATACAAAACTCACTTTTCACCTTCAGTTACAATTTTAGTTTTAACAAACTTTTTTTTTAAAATCGTAAGAACAGGAATAGTGCCATGTCACAGCGTTTCGCTTTGTGTTCGGGACTGAGCACATGAGGAACCTAACGGCCTGCTTTTGAAATTCTTTCAAACTTCTTTAAGCAAACAGGAATAGCTTGTTGAATTACATCAAATTGTTCAGTAAGTTCTTATTGCGTCTGACAAGGATTGTCGTTCAATTGCTGCTTTAATTTCTCGTCTTCAACTTTTTTCGGCATTCTACTTAGTTCTCAATCAACGAGATCGAAATCGCCACTCCGAAATTTTTGAAACCACTTTATACAATTTGCGTAAGTCACAGCACCTTCACCCAAAGCGAAACAAATAATTTCGATAACCTGAACAGCATTTTTACTCAACTGGAATACAAAAATAATGCAGTGCTTCAGATGTACTGTTTCGGATGACATCGTGATAACTACTACTGTTATCTGCTGTTAACTACTGATAACTACTGTTTTCTATTATATCGTCAAGGCCGTCAACTATTATAGTGCATTTTAAAGCTTAAAGTTGACATTTTCAAATTATCCTAGGGTGGGAAAAAATTTTAATTTGAATCAGAGTTACAAGACGTTAAATATAAAGGGATCGAACTTATACACCTAACAGAAACTTTTATATATTCGGGAACTTTTATGTATTTGACATACTTTTTAACCTTTATAAGAAATTTTATTAGGATTTCATTCCTTTCTATAAACATAAAGTAAATTAAAACATCTTGTAATATTATGACAAAAATTATATGCAGAAGTTAAAAATCTGCAACAAATCTGCAAATGTTAAATACAAATGATATGCATATCTTCATGAATAAAATATGCTGAATGAATTAGGTTGTTTGGAAAGTTCATTTCAAATCTTTTAAGTTTAGGGGATACTATTTTAGTCAAAGAGAACTTTACTGAAACAAATATGTACCGCTTTGTTCAATGACCTTAACCCATCTCTTAGGTAGCTGCATGTTATCTTAACTTTAAATCGAACATTTTTTGACTATCGAAGGATTGATGGTGGTGAATTTCGAGAACATCCAAAGACGAACTTCCTGAAAAAAAATTTTTCAAGGAGGGAAATATTAGTCAGGACAAAGTCAGGAGAATACAGAAGATGAAAAAGGACGTCCCATTTGAAGAATAGTAGCTTTATACAAATGGACATCGCAACGTGAAATCTGGCGTTATCATGGTAAAAGATAATTTCACGCCTGTTAGTCAGTTTAGAGTTTTTCCGATAGGTACGATGGAGACGAACTTGTTCAGAACCTCAGCGAATTCTCTAATGGTCACTGGCGGATTTTCGCGCAAGGTCCTTAAGAAGCGTTTTATCAACCTCCTGAGGCCGGTCAGAGCGAGCTTGATCTTCCATGTTGAAAATCACCAGCTTCAAGCCTTCGATACTTCCGAATTGTCTGATGGGTGACGCAGATGTCTTCATACATAGAGGACATCTTATTTAGGGTTTGCGAAGTCGTGACGCCACGCTGGAAGCAATACAGCATCATATGGCGAAAATGGATCTTTTTGTTACCTTTCTACCTGATTTCTGCCGAAACAGTTGCATTTATAAAAGCCTGCGAGGTTCTTTTGGCAAACTCACAGATCCGGAAAGGTTAACAAAAACAAAATCGTCTGGAACGCCCTCGTTCTCACTGATTACTAGCAATGCGGAGCATATGAAATTTGAAACGAACTTTTCGAACAACCTAATATATAAAATCTTAATATATATTAATTACTAATAAAATTCGTATATATTTTGTTGCAAATATGTTAGAAATTACGCAAAGTTGCTATAATAAATGTAATATTTTTCTTACATAATGTCAATGTTCACAATTGTATCTAATTCCTGTATAATCGTTGTAGTTAATTTTGAGATACCTAAGTGTATATTACTAAAAATATATTTTATAATGTAAAATATAAAAATATAAAGTGGCTAATAAACATAATTGTTTTATGTTTTTGAACTTTCGCTCTTCATTACAACAGAGTAACTTATTAACACTTGATATTTATAACATTTATTTGCACGCAATTATATATTGTAGAAAATGTGTGTGTGTGCGTGCGTGCGTGCGTGGGTGCGTGCGTGCGTGCGTGCGTGCGCGCGCGTGTGTGTAATGTGTGTGTGTGTAAGAACTGGATCAATTAAAGACGAACAAAGATCTGGAAGTCCTGAAGACGCCACCAACTATGATAAAGCTCTATTTAATACATTTATTCCGACGTTTTTCTAGACCTTTCATATCTTCGGTAAAATATGATTTGTTTAAAAAAGAAAAATAACCATTTCCAGCATCTATCACAGCAGAATTTAGTGAAATTTCTTTTTTCTCATATTGCCATTTTCTTCAAATTTGGGAATAGGAAGAAACCGCACGAGGCCAAATCCGTACAGTTTGATAGATGCAAAATCAATTCAATAATTAATTCTTGAACTTTTGTCATCTAGATGGTTGATTTCTGCGTCGATGCATTGTATTCCTAATGGAAGAGATATTTTCTACCCAATGCGGATGTTTTATCTTGATTTCGGCAATCAAATTTTGCTATAATCCAGCATAATATTTGCCGTTTATTGCTTTCCTTTTTTCTAAGAAATCGATAAAAATGATCTCTCTGAAATTTTAAAAAACCGTCGCCATCATCTTTTCAGTCAACGTAACTTTTCGCCTTCTTCGGAATTGGTTCATACCTTCAACACCATTCTTTTGATTACTGTATCGTCTATATAGTGGTGAACCCACGAATTATCAACAGTAATAAAATGTCGCAAAAAATCGTTTTCATTGCGCTTAAAACGTTCAAAACACGATTCTGAACTATTCAATCACATACGTTTTTGATCCACAGTCAGCAAATATGACATCCGTCGTGCATTCAACTTTCTCATAATGTTCCCAAAATGTTCATGCAGTATGACATGCACCCGTTCGGATGAAATGCTAGCAGCCTCTCCTGTCTCGTTCAGAGTCAATTGTCGATCGTCTATCACGATTTGGTGAACCAAATCAATCTTTTCTGTTATTACTGTTTTTAGACGTTCTGTGAGTTATTCATCAAAAATGCTGGAATGATCACGTTTAAACTCAGAAATCCACATTTTTAAAGCAGAAAATGAAAGAAACATTTTGTCCATACATTGCGTCTAACTTGGCTTTGACTTTGGCGATTTTTCTGTTAGATAATAGAATTTGATTGCAATTGTCGACTTTGTTCATTTTTGACAAACTATAACAGTTATTCAATTTGGGAGACTCATAAAAAAATTAGATGTCAGAATGACCTATATTTTTTTTATTGAAGATATATAGTGAAGCCATAAAACCTGACTCTTTGGTATATCGTACTGCAACGATAAAATGATGTCTTAAAATTTTAATTAACATTTATATTTGTAGGTTTAAAATACACATGTAAGAGAGCGTTTCTACAATTTAGCCATTACACTAAGTTAGGGTGAAAATCTTAAATTTCTAATACGCTATTTCACATGAAAATAAAAACAGAAAACAATTTGTTAGTGTAGAAAAATTAAATATAAGTTCATAGTTTATATTGTGGACTTCTGCTTCGCATGTAGAAAAACAGACATAATCAAATATACATAGAAATTTAAATATTGATTTATTATCGAAACGTGCAATCGCCTATTAATGTCGAAAAGAAAGAAAAAAATCTTCTTACATATGGTAAGATATATTAGGGGGACCGGAAAGTAATGTCGCTTTCTTAAGTTAAATTCACACGACTACATTTTTAACAAGTTTTTATTTCTAATCAATAATATATTCACCTTCGTTATCAACAACCTTTTGCCATCTAGTATACAAATTTTCAATGCCGGAGCGGTAAAAATCAATCGGTTTTTCTGTAAAATATGTCGAGATAGCATTTTGGACATTATCAAAATTTTCTAATTTTTTGCCACTAAGACAATGTTGCAGTGATCGGAATAAATGGTAATCCGAGGGTGCAATATCGGGCGAGTATAGTGGGTGAGGCAGTACCTCCCACCCCAATTCGTTAATTTTGTCTAAGGTCCGTTTTGCACAGTGCGGTCTTGCATTGTCATGTTGCAGAATAACTCCTTTTCTGTTGACAATTGCCGGATACTTTTCAATCAAAGACTGGTTTACTCGTTCCAATTGTTCACAATAGACATCTGCATTAACAGTTTGTCCAGGTTTTAACACTTCAAAGTGAACAACTCCGCGTGTATTCCACCAAACACACAGAAGTGCCTTTTTGGGGTGTAAACCCGGCTTTGCAGTAGTTCGTGGTAATTCATTTCGGCTGAGCCACTGCCTTTTGCGTTTCGGATTGTCGTACAGGACCCATTTTTCATCTCTAGTGATCAAGCGATCAAAAAACGGATCTGTACGGTGCCGTTGAAGCAATACGTTGCACGTGATGGACCGGTTGGCTTTATTCTGTTTGGACAGATTATGGGGGACCCAAACACCAGCTCTGCTTATTTTTCCAATCTGCGGCAAATGTTCTTGGATGGTTGACCAAGGTTGGTTAAGGCTGTTTGAGAGTTACTCAATTGTTTGACATGGATTTGCTTCCACTTCTGCCCTTAGCACGTCGTTATCTAATGTTGTTGGTCTTCCTGATCGATGGGCGTCCGAGAGATCAAAATTGCCTGATCTGAACTTGGAGAACCATCTGTGGCATTTTCGAACGTCCAATGCGCTTGGATAAACATCGCAAATGTTTTTAGTCGCAGCAGTTGCGGTATTACCCTTGCGAAACTCAAAAAGCATACAATGCCGGATATGCTCTTCTGGTATTTGGCTGGCCATTTCACCCCAAATTGCAAAAAAAAAAGTCTAATACTTAATTATTCAGAAGCAAATATGATACGATAACCTCAAAATCTCTTTGACACGCCTTCCAAGTACGTAATGAGCTACCAAATGACAATCAAATATCGACATGCGCAGAAACGACATTACTTTCCGGTCCCCCTAATACTTATATATAAATAAGAATCGAGTTGATGTAAATGTTGATATAACAGTTTCCATTATATCTTGTAACAATGTTTATCTGCATCGTCACTAAAGCATATGTAGCACAATGCGCCACATTAGATTACGCGCGAATAATAATCCGCTAGCATGCGATCTGCTGTGACAGCTGTGTTGCTAGACAACCATACTAGGCATGACACCAGTCGCCAAGAACGGGTATACGAGGGCGGTCTGATAAGTCGTAGGATTTAAAATGAAAACGCAATATTTTGGAAAAATTTCGATTTATTTTTTAATGTATCCCCCTTTCACTTCTATACACTTTTTCCAACGGTGGTGCAACTTTTTAATGCCCTAAAAAGTATGATTGTTCAAACTCTGGACATCTACCTCAGTGATGATCTCCGAATTCGGCGTGAATTTCTTCCCTGCGAGCCATTTTTCATGTTGGGAAACAGGAAAAGTCGCTGGGAACCAAATCTAGAGAATACGGAAGATGGGTGAGAATTTCGTATCTCATTTCGATCAGTTTAGCTGTAGCAATTGTGGGTGAATGTGCGGGTGAATATGGCATTGTGGTGATAGAACGGACTTTCTTCTTCGCAAGATGAGGCCGTTTCTTTTTTAGTTCCACGTTGAATCGTCCCAGCAAATCACTGTAGTATTGTCTCGTGATAGATCTTCCCTTGTCCAAATAATCGCCGAGGATTATGCCGCGGGAATCCCAGAATACCGTAGCCATGACTTTCAGCATGATAAACGTGTTAACACAATTAATATACTACTCATCGTTTCTTTAATCGCATATTATTTCAGTTTGTTTAAATTAAGCATGCACGGCAAACCTTGATCTAAAACTTATTTACTGAAAATTTATTCGAAAATCAGATGGGAAGACCTTTTTCTGACATTGCGTTCCACACGTTCTACTAAAAACCACAATAGCAGTCCAGCTATTGTCGTGAATGGAAATTTTTCCAAATGAATGTTCCGTACGCTCGACGATTCAATACAGTATTCTTATATCTGCACTTCAAAGGGCCAAAAATGTTGTTTTGAGAGAAGCGTCTATTAAAAAGTCCAAAACTTTGTGCATAAATGAAACGTTAGCGAGAATCAAAAACGATTGATGATTTTTCGAAACGTAGTATGATCTGTAAAATTTCGAAAGAAAAGGATAAATTAATAATTGCTACCTTTTCTCAAAATAAATCCTTATCATTGCGCAAGAAATAAATAAAATTAAAAGCAAAGAGCTTAGATACTTCCATTAGATTTATTTGAAATGATTTGCATGAGAATGATATAAAATATCGAAACAATTTGGTGAAACTTCTGCCGTTTAAGATTTATGTTAAGGAAAGATTAACTTAGGTTAAAAAAATATTCCCTGTGAGAATAGAACTAGAAAATTTTAGAAGATGAAGCTTCTTTATGGACATGATTGGTCGTCATTCCGGCCTGGTATACCCCCATATTTGCAGCTTTCTATAGCAAACTATAAAACACTCGATAAAAATATATATTTGAGGCTACTTTTTTATGAAAAGTTTCAGTTGTTTGTGCATCTTCACCGGCAATCTTAATGCAAATAGAATGTTGAAAATCTAATATAGAAAATATTTGATTACATTTATTGAGGAATAGTTTGAATCATGAAAAAAATTGGACGTCTCTGCATGCACTGAAAAAACGAAAATTGCATGAATATGTTGGGTAGTTTTCATAATCACCTGATGCTAATCTGATTGAAAATGCGTGGAGATATAAAAAGTTAAAGATTCGTAGAACCACAATATATTAAAAGGAGCGGCTAATTCGACAAATTAAATCTCTTTCGAAATCCCTAACCTGTTAATACGCTGAGTTCTTTGTGAAAAGATGGCTAGGAAATGCCAGGCAATTATGAACAATAACAGCGACTGAATTTCATATTAATACGATTATATCGTAAATTATAATAAACATTTGTTATCATTCTTATAATGAATACATAAATCATATTTAAAAAATGACGTCTATGATTAGTTTAAACAGACTGTAAGTTAGAATAACATAGAGTTAGAAGTCTTAGAATATATTAAGTTTTTCCTTTAAGATTATTAAATTTTTTATTTCTGCTATTGTTTCTCAACATTGAAATCATAGCGCGCATCACTAACCTGAACCTGACATATTTTTCTTTTGTGTCTCTTCGTGACTTTGCGATTTTCTTTGTTCTCTCTTCTCAATTTCTTCTCGTCTTTCTTCCAGTTCCGTAACAGATAATTCTTCCGATATTTCTGAGCTATCTGATTCTTCAACCGAACCTTGTACTTCGTTTTCGACTTTAATTTTTTCTGTTGTCTCTTCCGGAGTGACATTCTGCTGCGATGCATCCTGCATATCTACAAAAACAAATTAAAAATTATAATCCAGATGCAATGGTTATGAGAAAGAAGTATATCATTCATTAATGAGAAAGAAGTATATCATCCATAATGGTTAAAGTGACCATTTTTGTCTTTCAAAAATTAAAGTTGGGCTTGCAAAATTAAAACTTTCGATGAAGTGTATTCTTCATAAACTATTCTTCACGTACCACAGCTAAAAATCTATAATATAATGGACATGACGAAAGATTAAAGTGTTTTCTAATTCTTAAATTTATATTAAATTTTTGTACAATTTGAAAAGAGGGAGATGTGGCTACGTAATTTCTCGACGACAGTCTTAGATGACAATTAAAAAAATACCGAGCTGGCCTTCTTTATTATCTTTTTTCTCTTTTACCTCACTTTCTGCTGAGAAGAAAAGAAGTGATATTTAACATTACTTGGCTATTGTTTTATCGTTTTGCAGAGCAGAGAGGTTTTGAAAAGATCGATGGCGATATTCCGTGAACTTTTTGTTAATATGATCGTCATTAATGCAGTGATGAAAACAACGGTGTTAAATTATAGAAACGTAACAATATATAATCTTTTCGTATCCTAGAGGCGATAGAAAGAGATATATTTCGATCGTGCAAAAATGTGGTTGTCCGAAAATTTAGGTTAATGTATTTTGCATTGCGTTACATATTACACATTGATAATATGAAATGTTATGTTTTACACGCATATGCTGAATTACTGTCGTTCCTGCAACTCCTTCCACTGATACTTGTATATCTATTTACGATCATACTTGAGCAACATGGTGATGACGGTGCTCGTAAAGAGGCCCTCACCTTCTTTTTCTGACATCTTAATGCGCTGCTTCAACCGGACGCCTAAAACATTAAATAAACACAGCGATTATGTCTTGCGATTTTTTTTTTATAAATCGATCATTTGTTTTCATTTTACTTGTAATATAAACAGATGTTGTAACGTATAGCAACTATAATTTTCAGTAATGTATACAAATGTATGAATTATAGATAATTGAAAATCATAGTCACTAATACGAAAATATATAAATCTAATTAATAAATGAATAATTATTATTAGTACTTCTATCAATTTCAAAAAATATAAATTTAAAATTAAATTTTTATACATACATATCTAATGTTATCAAGTTCAATTTAAACTATTAGGTGTACAAATTAATTTCTTCTTTTTTTCAAAATTTAAAATTTATTTATAAAAATGCAAAAAATGTTATTAATAAAATAGTCTATTATTTTCGATGATCTCAAACCACCTATCAGGCAGCTGAATCCCATTGTGATAGAAACATTATGGTTTACAATCGATTACATCATCAATGTTTTTTAGGACATATTCCAATGTTTTGAAATGCATATCAGCTAAATGATATTGGGGTAATTGAAATAAGTGGTAATCTAAAAGGGCCACATTTGATGAATACGCCGTATGCGGGAGAGTTTCCCAACTCAAGTCGATGACGACTTTTTAAGTCCTTTTTGCAACGAGCGACTGAATGTTGTCATGCTGCAAAATGACTATGAATCCATTAACCTTCTTTCTGAATCGCTCCCAGTTTATATAGTCGAACGGAAATGGCTTGTTGAGTAACTATGAGTTACAAGTTCTTTTCTTGTTTACGTTGAATTTTGATTCAATAGGTGTTACAGCTCATCGTCTTCAAATTTTTAGGTTGCTCAGGGCGTTCTCCGTCTCTCAAGGTCAAAATCTCCTTCGTGAAATCTCTTATATCAATTTTTACAAGTGTGAGTTACTGCACATTCACCAAGAACATAACAAATCATTTCAACGGCGTACCTTTTTAGTTGAAACGCAAAAGAAGTGCAATGCCAAATATGTTCCTCATCAGAGGCCATCATATATCAACTGTAACAGAGGCTATTTCCGTGATTTATTATTTCCTATAATGATTTGAAAGCATAAATATCACCACTTAAAAGCCACAAAAGATTAGTAGATGTTCTAATATAAAATGGTTTTCAAGATTGGCGAAAAAGCATGGAATTAATTCATACACCTAATATTATTTACGATCGCTCCACTGAAACGATACATAAAGAAAATTCGTATCGAATAATAATAATAAAAATAGCCATACTAGTTCTAAATATGCACATATCTGCATCGCATAATTCATATTAACATTAAGAGTACAAATTAGTCCGGTCCGTTTCTTATGGTCAAAAATGCATTTATTTCAGAACAAAATGAATGAAAAAATTAATCAAAATATTGTCAATCGCTGGCTACTACTTTTTCCCGCCTCTCAGGCAATTTTCGAATTCCATCTCGAAAAAATGTCTCGCCTTTGAGGCGATCCAAGTTAGGAGCCAATTTTCGATATCCGCGAAAGAAGTGAACCAGTGACGTGCCAAATCGTGCTCCATCCATTGGAACAACCAGTAATCAGAAGGATTAATATCCGTCGAATATGGCAGGTGCGGTAAAATATCCCACTTGAGTGTTTCCAAATATTTTTATACGACTTTTGCGACATGAGGCCGAGCGTTATCATGCAGAAGAATAACTTTGTCATGTCTTTGCTCGTATTACGACCGATTTCAATCGTACCGAAACTGCTTGTTGGGTAACTCCTAATGATTCTGCAAACTTTTCTTGCGTTTGACTCGGATCTTCATCGAGTAATGTATCCAATTCTTCGTCTTCGAATTTTTTTGGCTGTCCAGAGCGAGGCCTGTCTTCAACGCTGAAATCACCATTCTTGAAACGTCGAAACCATTCTCTACATGATTTATCAGTTGGAGCATTGCCACGATAAACTTCTACAAGCATTCGATGCGCTTCAGCTGCACTTTTCTACCAATTAAAGCAGAAAACTAAAACCTCCCGCAAATGCTGCTTAGTTAACACAAAATTTGACATATTGAACACAATAAAAAACAGGGATTTTGTATTAAACTCAAAGAGTTTTGTATTAAACTTAAAGCGATATAAACTGAATATTATTGACAGATATCTAACCTCTCTGAAACCACAAAAATCAGCTGTCACTATGAAACATTCATAACATGCAGAGCCATCTTTTGAAAACGGACCGAATTAATTTGTACTCCCAATATATTTATGACACGAATTTGTTGCAAAGGTAGTGATCATGGAAGAAATGTGTTATACAAAGTGATTTCTTGCAAGAACAAGTAAATGTAGTAGTGTCACACCCGGGCGGTCCAGAGACGTGACGTATATTTCGGGAGTTGGGGATAGTCGAGTGTTGAAGCTTTGTACGCGAGAGTTATACAAAAGAAGACTTTATTTAAATATCTGGACAAGTCTTTTACCGATTGGGAACCTTATCCCTGGCTCGCGCTGTGTTCGGCAGCGATTATACGGATTACGCGAAATGCTCAACAGTGCAAAGTCGGATATTGAGAAAGCCGCCTTTCGGGTTGGAGCAGCTCTTTTATATTTTCTCCTTATTCTTTTAAGGAAGATGTATTAGCAACAGATCGCAACGGACGTGTGCCGTTCGGAAATTGTTTAACGGCGTGTGCACCGCGATACTTTCTTGCAACATGGTGATTTTCTTGCAAGCATTGCACATTCACATCCTCGGTGGCGTTTCGGCAACGCTAAGATGAGTGTAGAAAAGCGAGGTTATAACAGCTGTTTCTCCACAAATATCGTATTTTATTTTAGAATCACTTTTAAAACAAGAATCAACCATAAAATCTGTTGGTTCATTCTGTACATATTTACATTTAAGCCACGCAAATTCAAATAAATTTTGAAACTTAGGAGACGAGAATTTATGGTGCGTTAATGATTGCAATTTCAAAATATTATTTCTAGCTTGAAGATTAGTTACACGTTCCAAGAACATAACAATATCATAAAAATGTCTAAAAAAATTGTTCAACAATCGGAAGCCATATATATCTAATGGTTATATTTTTCCCGTCATAGCGGCCAAAATTATTAAGAAAACAGTGTTTTCTGCAGAATCTGTTCTAGTTTCCGCAATTATATTGGGACAATGTTTACTCCATGATATCTAATATTAATACGGATTTTGGCCAGACCTTTGTAAAGAATATTTCTCTCAGCCAGGTATTTACATGATCTGATGTCAATTTACCTACTTTAGAAACTATAACAAAAATATTAAGAGAGTTGAATAATGTTTCCTGCACTCATTGGTAAAATGTTCTTGATACTTTTAATACGATAATAAGAGGCGAAAATAATTTACTATCAGAGAAAATAGTCGACTGTAGAGTATAACTATGTCATTGCTGATATATATTATATTACAGCTTTTATCTTTCTTACATGCACCTATATGCGACAAGCTACGACAGAAGTGAAATTCTAATTGGAATCCACTCTGATCCGATTTGTAAAGATTTTTTACTCCATATCGATTAATATATTATTTTACGTTTGTGATATAAGGTCTAGTAAAAAGTAATCCATTATTTTTGTATCAAATTGGAGGCTCTATTTAACATAGTTACAATGATCCGATTTAGGTCAAATATGCACCGTTTTGTTCGATAACTTGTTGCCATTTCGAAGGTAATTTCATTATGCCTCTCTCATAGAAACCCTCGTCCCTATTGGCAACAAACTGGGAAAGTCGATTTTCACAAGCTTCTCTTGAGGCGAAATTTTCACCAGCAAAAAAATTCGCTATAGACAGGAACAGGTGGTAATCACTTGGTGCCAGGTCCGGACTATAAGGTGGATGCAAAAGAACTTCCCAACCAAGTTCCCGGAGCTTCTGGCGAGTCACTATCGATAAGTGCGGCCTGACGTTATCGTGATGGAACACAATTCCTCTCCTATTGGCCAAAGCTGGCCGCTTCTGGGAGATTGCTTCCTTCAGACGGTCCAATTGTTGACAGTACAGGTCCGAATTAAGAGTTTTGCCGTAGGGGAGTAGCTCATAGTAGATAATTCCCTGCCAATCCCACCAAATAAACAGCAAAATCTTCCTGACCGTCAACCTTGGCTTGGCCACCGTTTGCGCCGGCTCATCGCAATTCGACCACGATAGTTTTCGCTTGACGTTGTCGTAATTGACCCACTTTTCATCACCAGTAACCATCCGCTTCAGAAATGGATCGATTTTGTTGCGATTCAGCAGCGATTCGCAGATGGAAATTCGATCCATGAGGTTTTTTTGCGTTAACTCGTGTGGCACCCACACATCGAGCTTCTTTTTGAATCCAGCCTCATTTAAATGGTTCCAAACGGTTTTTTGTGCAATGTTTAGCTCCTTGGCAATCGAAATGGTGCTTACATGACGGTCGGACTCGATGATTTCCATTATTTTATCAACATTTTCGACAATTGGCCTCCCGGAGCGTGGTGCATCTTTGACATCAAAATTACCGGAACTGAATCGACAAAACCAAAATTGCGCGTGATTGGCTCTTACCGTATCAGGACCATAAACACTATTCACATTTTTAGCCGCCTGGCTTGCGTTTTCGCTTTTATCAAAGAAAAACTGTAAAATATGGCGTATTTTCTCTTTGCTGGTGTCCATCTTTGACGCGCGCTCAAACAATACTGAGTCAAGCAATCACAAAACTGAGAGGTTTCTTTAGTATGAAATCTTATCTTTCTAACGCCATCCGGCATAATCCGATCGGACTTATACAACGCGAGATACAGATTAGTAAAGCCCTCTATTGGAAAAATAATGGATTACTTTTTACTAGACCTAATATATGTATCGCACATATTTTTCTAAATCTTTCCTTGATAACAAAATCTTTTCGTAACAAATTTTGCAATCTATCGAAATACTATACTATATGTAGTTTTCAATTTTCTGATCCACGTTGCTAAGACTTTGAATCCTGGTGGCATTTTCTTTTTTTTATGCTCGAGAAGCCCATCGAGCGATGTCAATGTCGTGAATAATTATTTCGTTTTTGAGTACTTCATTAAAACGGTTTAATATATATTCAGAAATCCGTTTTATTTTGTCAAATTTGCTACCGTCTTCGTTAATTTGGCGTACCCTTCGTTATAGTTGTGTTATTGATGTAACCTTTTTAACCTTTTAAGTCCTGAATACTCCCGGCGCAAGCAATCTGCATGGACGGGGCGCGCCTACCAGTTTCGATCGCTGGGGAGGGAATACTTTTTTGCTAATGTGAACTCCGTCGATTGAATATGCAAGGCGCAATTACTTGAATAATTCAAGAAAGTTATATCTCAATATTAATTATTTTAATTAATTTTACGCACGATGCAAACGACGCGCCGGCGACATTCGAACCGCGCACTAAGCGGAGCTAAATCCATAAACGTATCCATAGTTTACACCTATAGCTTTCACTGGACACATATACCAGGTTTAGAAGTAAGAAACCGGAATTTTGTTATAGATGGTGCTAGCCATCAGTTTAGGGACTGTAAGACCGCTTCTGCAGCGCCATCATCTCCCTCTAACAGCTGACGAAGATTTTCAACACACAACAACCCAAGTTCAATACACCGGTATATTTTTCTATAACCTTAAACATGTCGAGTTTTGTGCCTACGAACTACGATTTGCGGACAGCATTGGTTTTTTGTTATCATTTGAAGAAAACTGCTGCATAATCGCATCGAATGCTTGTTGAAGCTTACGATGAACATACTCTTGGTAAAACACAGTGTTTCGAGTGGTTCAAAAAATTCAAAAGTGGTGATTTTGACGTGAGAACGAAGAGCGTGGGAAATCACTGAAAAAATGCGCAGACAACGAATTGCAAACCTTATTGGATGAAGATGATACTCAAACTCAACAAGAACTCGCGGATGAATTGAATGTGACGCAGAAAGCTGTCTCAATTCGTTTGAAAGCCATGGGAAAGATTGAGAAAGTGGGAAAATGGGTTCCGCATGAACTGAATGAAAGACAGCAAAAAAATCGAAAAACCACTTGTGAAATGCTGCTCGACAGATACAAAAGAAAGTCCATCGTATCATGATAGGTGATGAAAAAGGGATATATTTTGAGTATTCTAAGCGTCAGAAATCATGGGTGAACCCAGACGAACCATCGACATCTACTGCAAGACCAAATCGCTTTGGATAGAAGACAATGCTCTTTGTTTGGTGGGATCAAAAGGGTGTAATCTATTATGAGCTGCTAAAACCTGATGAAACCGTTAACACTGATCGCTACCAACAGCAAATGATTGATTTCAATTGAGCATTGCGTGGAAAACGATCGGAATATGGAAAAAGACAACACAAAGTCATTTTGCTCCATGATAATGCCCCATCACACACAGCAAAATGGGTCAGGGAAACAATCGAGGCGTTCAGTTGGGAAATACTAACGTATGCGGCTTATTCTCCAGACTTGGCTCAGTCCAATTATTATCGATGCGCATTAATGGGACACGCTCTCGCTGAACAACGCTTCAATTTGTATGAAAATGTACGAAAATGGCTCGATAGCTGATTCGCTTTAAAAGACGAAATGTTTTTTTGGCGTTACATTCATAAACTGTCGGAGAGGTGGGAAAAATATATAATTAGCAATGGACATTATTTTGAAAAAAATATTTTTATCATTTTCAAACAACAGACGTGTAATTTTTACAAAAAAATTCCAGTTTTATACTTCTACACCTGGTAAGTGCTGTCTACCGGTGCGCTATTTACCACGGCACGCTCGCGCTCATCGTGATTATATCAGGAATGTTAATAATGAATCCAAATATTAACTAACATCAAATTAGTCATAAATTAAATTCGTCTTTTGTGACTGTGAATATTATTTTATGTGGCAATCACATTTATCTTTGTCACATTTCACTTAAGCAGGAACTTTCTGATATCGATAAAGTTTTTCTTGATATACATTGTTTGTCCGGAAAGTAATATCAGCGATTTTTTCTTGACATTTGTACGACTGATCGTGGCGACTGATCGTCAGACTGTGCTCGGATCGGTTGGGAATGGTAGAGGGTGAAGTCAGCTAACGAATATTGAGACATTCAGTCTTCTCCCGCTAGCCCAATAGTAAGGACATGGGTTTCCGTGGAAGTCGTTTTGTGACCTCGTGCAAGTAAACATGCAGCGCTCCTTAGAATAAAGGATGGCGATCAAGTTTTGCGCTAAACTTGGCAAGACCGGGGCGGAAAATCTTCCAATGATCAAGACAGCTTTTAAAGAAAGTGCCCTGTCGGATCGGCAAGTGTTCCGGTGGCACAAAGTTTTTTTGGAAGGCCGGGAAGAGGTCGACGACGAAGCCCGGGCCGGATGGTCCCTCACGAGTTTGTACCAGCTGGTACAACTGTGAACGCTAAATTTTACGTTGGAGTGCTAAAGAGGCTGAAACGCTGGGTTCAACGCCTCCAGCTGGACATCGCAAAGGACTGGAAGTTGCATCACGACAACGCGCCGGCCCACAGCTCCTTCTTCATCACCAACTACCTGGGCAAAGAAGGGGTGCCAACGATTCCTCAGCCTCCGTACAGTCCGGACGTCGCTCCTCCCGATTTCTTTCTGTTTTCACGCCTGAAAAGACCCATGAAAGGAAAGTATTTCGAGACCATTGAAGGGATCCAAGCAGGTTGCACCGCGGTTTTAAAGGACATTCCGGAGGANTTCATCACCAACTACCTGGGCAAAGAAGGGGTGCCAACGATTCCTCAGCCTCCGTACAGTCCGGACGTCGCTCCTCCCGATTTCTTTCTGTTTTCACGCCTGAAAAGACCCATGAAAGGAAAGTATTTCGAGACCATTGAAGGGATCCAAGCAGGTTGCACCGCGGTTTTAAAGGACATTCCGGAGGAGGCCTACCGTGGCGCATTCGATGTCTGG